CTTTATGAAATTTCTAATTTAATATAAGATTTGGTAAAGGTATTGCTGTTTTTTTTTGTCAAGAGATGATTTATTCTTTTTATAATAATAACTGAAACTTATACTAAAAAAATTAAAAGTAAAAACTAGACTTCTTTTTTGTTTGATAGCCTAGCGAACTCTGTAAAAAATCTGCCAAGGCATAAAAAAAAGCAGAATTCATTGGCCAATAATTCAAACAAACAATTTGTCTCCAATAATGTAAAACTTGAAATATAAACTATAAAATAATTAGATAATAATAATGTTAAATAAACTAGCTCATCGTATAGCCAATGGAAAACCTTTTTGTTTTAATCTAGATATTCCATTGTTTTCTCTATACGACAGATTTTGTCGTAAAGTTGCAGAAAGTAGTTGTAATAGGCACTTTTTTCCCTTGTGGTTTTTTCCCTATTCACGACTTTATGTAGCTGTCTATCCTCAACATAATTTTATTGGCTAAGTTTTTATTATCATATCTTTATCTTATCTTGAAAAGTGAAAAACTATATTATTTTTATAACAATTTATAAGTTTTACTGGACTATTATCTTTTACTGATTTTCAATTACCATTTATATATTTTTTACCACTTTGAAATACTTTTATTAATAAACAATCAATTTGAAAACCGAGAATAGCGGAAATTATTAAATTAATTATTCCGAGGAAGAAACTGGCGAGGAAAGTACTTAAATATTAAATAAGTACGACAATTGTGTTGAATAGTTTTAGATATAAGTATAGTAACTATTATAGGCGGATAAATAACCATTTGCATCAATGGATGGTTGATAAACGTTGTAAATGATAAATAGAAACGTTTAGCCTGCTAATGAAAACGTTTAACATTAATTATTAAACGTTTTGGGATTAAAGAAACACGTGTAAAAATAAAACCACCCTAGGAAACGCCGCCGGAAATTACTATTACTTTAATCTAATATTTATTCAATGCCTTAGTATTTACTATTATTATTAATTAATTACTATAGTTTATTTTATTATGATATTTTGATATCTCTTTTGGATAGTGTAAAAGAAGATACAAAATCCATAATTTGAAAGAACAACTTTTTTCAAATAAAATCGTATAAAACATCAAATCACAAATCTTCTAAAATAATTTATATTACAAAATTCATATTCTTTACCCCGAAATTAAACTCAAACACCAAAACTAACCCTAAGAACTAAAAATAAGAAGTACAGATACCTAAACTCTACTACAATTTTGTCGTAAAGTTACAAAAAGTAGTTGTAATATGCACTTTTTTCCCTTGTGGTTTTTTTATTGTTCAAGACTTTGTGTAGCTTTCTACCCTCAACATTATTTTGTTTACAAAGTTTTTATAATCATATCTTTATCTTATCTTGAATAAGGAAAA